GCCGTGGGCAGGCCGTGGGGCAGGCCCCGTGGGGCCTAGGCGTGGCGCGGGCCCTGCCACCCCTGGGCCCTCGGTGCGGAAGGTAAGCCGGGGGAGGGGGAGGGGGGGGGTCTCTTATTATTGCACGGGGATAGGGTCACTTCGGCAGCACCAATTGCCTGCTCTTCCCTGGAAGTCGCATCCTTCTCAGAAGGAGGGGAGGGGAGGGGAGGGGAGGGGGAGGGCCGCGGGGTGACGAGGCGCGTGTGCGAGAGAGAGGGCGACAGGGTGCCGTCCGGAGGAGTCCGGAGGAGTGAGCGAGCTCGTTTCGCTCGCTCCGTCCATTCAGCTAAATAAACCTTCAATTATCGAGGCGTTTTTGGTCTTCTCTTTCTTTGGCACTTGTGGTGTTGGCTGCGGGGCACAAGCAAGGGCACAAGCGCACGGCGCCGTCCCAAGTTCCAAGTTCGAACAGTGTTTGGACCGGCCTGCATTGTGTAAGCGGGACGCGCGGGAAGCGCAAAGTCCCCCCCCCCTTCCCCCTTCCGCGCGCGCCTCGCTGACCGGGGCACGCTTTGCATGACTTGTGCCCGTCTAGTCCTTTGTCTTGTAATTTATGATCGCGCCCTTGACTAAGGCGGGCCAAGCAGCAGGTTGATTCCGGACAGCGTCTTCGTCGCTCTGTCTCTCTCGCACTCGGGGGCCTTTCCGCAGGGGTGCCTGAGAGAGAGAGAGAGAGGGAGAGAGAGAGAGAGAGAGAGAGAGAGAGAGAGAGAGAGAGAGAGAGAGAGAGAGAGAGAGAGAGAGAGAGAGAGAGACGGAACGTCGCCGGGCCATGACGCGGGCGCCCTGACCATGGATGCCCTGCCCTGCCCCGACCGGTATGCGTCCTTGGATTCCGTGGGTCCGTCCGCGGACAGTGGCGTGCCAGCACAGTGTGCCAGCCATGCTCATCCTCGCGCCTCCTGCCGTCCCGCGCGTCCCGCAACCTGCAGCGTGCCCACATAGCCAGGGCGAGACCGTCGTCAATTCGAAGACCGTCGCCGTGATGCCGTGTCGTCACGACGTCCAGGTTGTCCAGGTCGCGAAGAAAGGAGCCGGGTCTTATTCGACACGCTCAGGCCCCGCCATGGCCCCGCAGGACGCAGGTACACCGTACGCCCCGGCCCATGCCTGTTTGTCCGCCTGTCCTGTGAAGAGTGCACCACGACGCGCCATCTTGAAAAAACACACACACAGACAGAGGGTCCATCACCGAGTTGTGTCCTTTGTTTGTCTCGAAAAGTCCCTTTTTCCATTCGATGGCCAATGAACAGCGTCGTGGTTGCACTATTGTCTAAACGCACCGAGGGTATCGACGGGAAATCGTGAATGCGTGTTTGCGCGTTCCAACAGTGCCCTGCCCTCATCCATCCGCCCTGCCTTCTAGAATTTGCGAGAGGCGCGTGAATTTCCGGTGTACTCGGGATCGCGAAGCACGTGACCACGTGACCGAGCAGGTGTCCTTCGTGGCGCGCGCCGTGGCGGCGGCTGCGGACTGACTCCGAACGGCGCGCGCCACGCTCGGCCTCCCTCGCACTCATGGGGCGCCCCGTAGGGGTGCGAGAGAGACAGAGCGACGAGGCGCTGTTTGGGATCGGCAATCGGGCTGCCCGACGGGGTGGGCCGCCTGCTCACGGAAAAGAGGGCGCTGGTGGAACGACACTCGTTCGTTGCAAACGACGCCGTTGTCGTGACAGTTGTCATGCGTCACGCCCGTTGATGACGGGCTGTTGGGGGTGCTGGCGGCGCTCAAGGCCCGGGCGTTCAACGCCGAGGTGTTGGAGGCCGAGGCGTTCGAGGCCGTGGCGTTCAACGCCGAGGCGTTAGAGGCCGTGGCGTTGATCCCCTTCCGCGGCGCCGCGCCGGAGCGCTGGATGTGGTGGCTCGACGGCGCTCAAATGAAATATTACCCGGCCGCCACCATGCCAGGTGTGCTTATCTACGCAGCGCCGTAGCTCACCGGGGGAACCGCGGCGTCGCGCTCAAACGTTGCCCATCTATCCTGCATGCTCCGAGCCCCGCACCGTGCTCCCCGGGCGAGGACGGCGATGGCGGAGGCTGGCGTCGCCCTGGCGGAGGGGCTGCAGTGTCTCTCTCACACCTATGCGGGACGCCCCATGAGAGCGAGAGAGAGAGAGACCCCTCCCTTGGCTGGCATCAGCCCGCTCGCCAGCCGGCCGGTAAAGGTGTGGTCAAGAAGCAGGGCAGGCCGGCCCCGCGGCCCCGCAGAGCCCGCAGGACGCCTGCGGGGCCACGCAGGGCCGTGCAGGGTCCGTAGGTAGGCGGCACACTGTACGGGGGGACGATTTACACGATCTGTCACTCACTCGGCCCGTTTCTGAGTGCTGAGCTTTGCTTGTTCCTTGTTCTACGGGCTGCCTGGCACACTGCCTGGCCGCCGCTGCCCACTGCAGCCCCCTGGCCGGCCCTGCCGGCCCTACCTAAGCCCCAAGCCCGCCCCGCCACACTGCCCGCCAGGGTGGCCGTCGCGCCTCACAGAAGGAGGATTCTGTGGAACTGCAAGCCCTTCTCGGCTAGAAGTACGGGCAAAAAATGATTGCTGAAACGGACGGCGCCCTCTGCCATTGATCCGGGCTTGCGATAAAGTCGTCTTCCGGTGTGCACTTCACATGTACAAGCACACACACTCACACGCGCACACAACGCACGTACACGCACACACGTCATAACGACCTCGTCAGCATTTCACGTTTCGCAGGCTGCTATCTCTCCGCCCCAAGGCAAACCCGTCCCTGCGGCGCGTTGTCCTCGACGGTACTGTGCTGAGGGCCCCTTGGAGTAAGCAACCCGCCCCTGGTAGGGCTGCAGGCAGGCTAATCGTTCTCGTCTCTCTGTCTCTCTCGCACTCATGGGGCGTCCCGTGTAGGGGGCGTTTCCGAAGCGGAGCGAGAGTAACAGAGCGATTTCTTCGCAATGAGGTGGCAGCCTGCTTCCCTCGTCGCGCCCTCCGCGTCGCGTCGCGTCGGCGCTGTGAAAATCATTCGGTTACCCTTCGTTGCCCCACGGACGGCCCGCGGCCCGCGGCCACCCCGCCGCTCCCCCTTCCCCCACCCCTTCTGGCGCGCTCCCATTTTCTCCCGGGCCCAACCCCCAGCCCAACCCCCGCCGCCTGCTCGAACGGGCGTCAGTGTCGAAAAAAGAGAGGCCGGCGGGGGTGAGGGAGGGAGGGAGGGCGAGCAGGCTGCAATGAGACACTAGTAGTGGAACCGGTCATGATCCGAGCTGTATTGTGTGAGGGGTGGCGGGGAGGGGAGGGGCGGCGGGGGCAATCCAGCGTCCGCGCCGTCGGACGGGGCCGGACGGGGCGGACTTGCGCTCGCCGGAGAGGTTCAGCAGGGCGACGCACAGTGGGCCAGAGACCGGTGGAGGCGTCCAAAACTCCAGACGCGTTTTAAGCTCCAGAGTCGCTAAATGGGACTCGAACTGAACGTGTGACCCCACCAATGGATTGCTCTTCGGACGAGGAGTCCATTGATGGGGTCACACGTTCGGTTCGAGGCCTTCTTAGCTACTCTGGAGCTCAAAACGCGTCTAGAGTTTTGGCCGCCTCCACTGGTCTTCTGGCCCACTGTGCGACGCCGGAGAAGCTACGCCGTGCCGCTCCTGCTGTTGGACTTCTTCGCTCTGTCTCTCTCGCACTCCAGGGACGCCCCGTGCGAGGTGCGAGGGAGACATGCAACGGCGGCACTGCTGGAGCGTTTCGCGCGGCTCGCGCGTGGCGTGGCATTCCCCTTTGAAGCCCGCACGGCTGCACACTGCACAGCCTGCAGCCGGGGGTCGCTCTCGTCGCCCTGTCTCCCTGCGCATGGGGCGCTCCGAACAGGTGCGAGAGAGACAGAGCGACGAAAACGACCCTCGGAAGCAGCCTGCAGCACGGCAGCCAGGAGCGCGTCGACACGTTTTATCATGAAAGGGAAATGAGGGGCGCACGGCGACCCCGCCCCGCGCCCCGCGCGCTTGACGCTCGAAGCGCTGGAGTCCCTGCACTGCATGAACCTGGCCGAGGCCTTTGTTTTCCCACGGCGTTCCGCACCCTGCCATGCCTTGCCGCCACGCCCTCCGGCAGGGCCTAAAGGCCAGCGGCAGCTGCGCGGCAAGGCAAGGCGTCGCGGCCCTCGCGGCCCGTGCGCGCCGTCGCCGCCCGCGCCTTGCCCCATGCCTCACCTCTCCACGTGCAGCCGTGCAGCGGGCGGGGGGGGGGGGCAAAAAAGCGAGATAACCTGTTTCTCCTAAACTTAGTGAGGCATCATGGCCGCGGCTGCCGCTGCTGCACGCCGGACGGCCGGATGCGCGGCGCGGCCACCGGGCCTCCACACTTACCTACTCCCCGTGCCCATGCTGGCCCACAAGCAGGGCCCCACCACCACCACCGCGCTGCGCCGCTGCGCCTCCCCGCACCGCCGTAACGGTCGCAGGGCTGGCCTGCGCTGGGCGCCAAGGACGCCGTCCTGGACGGGTGGACAGGCCGTCAGGCCAGGCGGGGCGCGGGGCCGGACTGGCTGACCATCTGCCCTCTCCTGACGCGTCTAGCGAGCGACGCTCCCCCTCCCTCTTCGCCGTGCCATAAAATAGGCTCAGTAGATGGCGAAAAACTAGACTTGACAAAGAGTTAAAATTTAAGAATTCTGAGAATTCTGGAGCAGCATGCCGCAGGCAAGCATCAGAAAATTTGAGGGATTCTAAATTCTGTGCACCTCATTATTTTTTCATCTGTCTTGTTTAATGTAAAGTGTCATTGTATCAGTCAACTGGATTTTCAATAAAAATAAATTACTTTAACTCATGTCTTAATTCTTTGAAATCAAAAGAAAATTTTACCCCTGGTGATGTATGAATTTTGCACAAACAGTGGGCTTAATTATCTTCTGCACTCACATTTAATTTTTTAGGCAAATGTTAAGACTGGCTTCTGTCTTTTATTGACTGTTTTGAGCTTGAAAATAAAAAGGGAAAATGAATGCATTCATTGATAAATTAGTTTATTATTACAAAAATACATACAAAACTGGGATTCAAAACCACTGGTAGTGTATTCACACTGAACTAAAAGTAAAGACAAAACAAACAAACAAAAATCACTACATTACAAAATTAGAAAAAATCACCATAAATATTGACTGGGGAAACAAAGGTTCATGCTGTCCATTATGAATATATTTACAATACATTGAGAATATATTACGGCCCTTTGGTTTAATAGAACAACATTCTCCTAACTAAGTACAATATAGTCATAAGGTACAATGTATTTCTCTACAAGAGGACCCTGTAGATAAAATTCTTTGGAATACCTAGACCTCCTCAGGGGAAACTTCAGGCTCGCTGTTGAGCTCGCTGTTGGGTTCTCCTTTCCTTACATTGTATTCGTCTTCCTCCATCTCTCTCTCATCCAAATCCTCAGCCATCTCTCGAGTATCTTCATTCTCCTTCTCATTTTCTTCACTATGATCAGCTTCTTCTACCCTCTTCACCATATTTCCTGTCTCTGCCATTTGCTCCTCTGGCTCCTTTTTCTCTTCTGTATTTTTCTCATTTTCTTGCTCTTCATGGTGTGGCACCTCTTCAGGTGCAACCTTAGCTTTGGAAACTTTTCTCTGCTGTTTCTTCTTCTCTTTTAATTCCTCTCTCTTCATGTGATACTGCCTCAACAACTCAGTATCGATAAATTCTGGCTGCCACAGTTGATTGAGGAAAAACGAGTTAACCAGAGCAATGTCATTGCCATTAGGTTGGAAAAGGAATGGTAGAGCGGCAGGCATAGTTCCATATGCCTCGTGTCTATCATCAGCATGCACAGAGTGACTAGATAATGAATCAGGAGTGGCACCTGGTCTTGACTCTAGCTCTGACTCAATTTCTGGCTCATAGGCTTGCTCCATGGCCATATCACCATCCATACCAGCTTCCGTACCAGGCTCCATGTCCATTTCATCCATTTCATCCCCGTCCATCTCAACTTCCGATTCGTACTCTTGTTTGGAAGACTTGTCAAGCTTGTACTTCTTTGCAATAGGATACTGTTCAAATCTGAACTTGCCGTATTTGTCCTCCATTTCGTCAAGCATCTTGGATCTTCCATTCTTGACAGAAAGGTCCACTGGTTGGTTGCCAGCAGTGGAGTGAACGGGCACAATGGTGGTTGCAGAGGGAATGTTGAGCTTTGAGAGATCTTGAGGCATGGATCTCTTGCGAACAGACAAATCGGTGGGCATGGACAAATCAGTTGGGTTATCTTCTGACGGCTCATCCTGCTTACCGAGAGAAATCATTGAGACATCTCGATTCACTTTAGTATTATTTTTAAATGGGAAGCTATCACGTTTGACTGGCAAAATGCTTAAAGAACCATTGGCATGAGCAGGCACCATGGTAATATCTCTGTCACCTAGCTTATTCATGAGATCACGAGGATGAGGCATGTGAGCAGATGAAACGCGTAATGGAGTGACACTGACATTAGAGTTACTATAAGAGCCAATACGAGGAGCTACTGAATCTTGTTTCTGTTGGTAGAAGTTTTCGCCTCCCCATGAAGATAGCTTGTTTGGTGTCGTTCGTTGAGCAAGAAGTGACAGAGAATCCATCGGTTGAAGAGGACTCTCTCCATTGGCAGCAGCAAACTCTTGGGCTTGAACTATCAGACGCTCTCGCTGTATCCTGACTCTCTTCTCAGTGATGGCGTAGACATTCATGAAGGCTTTCTGGCACACCTCAACAATTGGAATACCAGGTTTTGTTCTTCCTGCAATGACATAAAAGAAAAATAATTAGTATGTTTCACACTTTTTTTTTGTCAGGTATCAAAATATATTATTTGTTATGTTTGTAGGTGATTGTAACTTACCATCAAAAGTAACATCCGAGACACTTTGAATGAGCGGAACTTGATATTTGCAGCTCACTCTGCGCTGACTGCGCCCAGATGCTGTTCTCTGTTGCTGTCGCCAGTATTTCCTCTGCACAGCTCGAATTTCAATGTGTGCTTGAAGGAAACGGTTTTGAAGAGCATGGTCAGACAGAGCATAAAACTCTTTGAAGAGGCGCTCCCGTTGTTCTTGGGTGATTTTGTCTCCACATTTTTGAGGACATGTGCATATCAGCTCTGGAACACAAGAAATTTCAAAATAAAAATTAGTTGGTTTAGGTTTTAATGAATCAAAATTTATGGAGAAGAGTCTGGTGGAGCAATAGTTGTCAGATAAAAAACAAAAACAAAACAAAAAAAAAAAAAAAAAAACAAAAAAAAAAAAAACCACAATACTGGACAAATTTTTTTAACTGATCAAATGATTGAACTGACAAGTATTGCACGTAAGACTCCCTTCAAAGCTGGTTAATAAGTCTTGTAAAACTCTTTCAAAAATTCTTTTAGTTAGTATCCTAAAGAAAATGCCACAGACTTAAGAAGAAATAAATATTGAATGAACTCATAAATTTTTAAATTAAGATTGCATGCAGGTTGCCTGATATTTTATAAGAGTAATTTTTGTGCATGTGTGTAGAGTTCACTGTTCACTACATTGGCACTTAGTCTAACATTAATGCCCTTACATTTTGGTTAATTTCATGCCTAATTTTTCTGACAAAGCAAGAATAGTTCCATAGAAGTGTTTCTCCATAGCAAGTTAGTAAATCAAGTGTTAATATTAGATCACACAATAAATCATACAATAATTTCTTTTTCTCTAAAAATTAGGCACTACAGCAACTATGTTAGTGCACCGCTTGGAGCATTTTCAATGGCTTCAAACTCACCAAACCATCATTAGCTCACACCGTAGTCAAATTTATGGATGTGTCCTGAAAAATTTTAACATGTCAGTTTGACTACTGCTCTTTCAAACAATTTCTCCCCTAATTTTTTTCTCAAATACAACACAAATGGGGGATATCACTCTTCCAGGACACAACAAAATATTGACTACAATTGCACACACTGAACAATAACAGTGAGCAAAAACGGCTTTGCCGAGCTAATCTACTCGCTGTTACCCCCCAAGTGACTCAATTATTCAACCTCATCGGCCAGGCAGTGGCCAGTGGGCTGAGCCAGTGAGCCTAGGCTGAGCCCACCCCTGAGGGCCCCTCAGCTTACTACGACCGCATGGCGGAAAGGCGAGGCAAGGCGGGGCAAGGCGGGCAGGCCGCGGGGGCCCTCACCACTGCCACAGATAAGGCTTGCACTAATGGATTAGGCCAGCTTATGCTGCTCGGCCCGATAACCACTCGGCGTTCTCATCAAAGACGAATCAACGTCGCGCGGCCGGCCCGCCAAAGGGCTAAAGGGCCGAAGGCGGAGGGGCCACAGCCTCGGCGCGCTTCCCTTGACCGTGCACGGCCCCCTTTGGGCCCCCAGGGGCGCCCCCTGGGCCGCTTGGGCCCCAGGGCTAGTCATTGCACAATTCGTTTCACAATCAGTTGGCCTAGATCAAGCAGTCCGCGGGGCTGCGGCGCTGCGGCCTGCGGGGCTCGGCCCGGTGGAGCATCTCGCCGCGCCCTTCGCCCTCGTCACTGGCTTGCCCATGTCATCTCGACTTGCAGTGCGGCACTTGCTGCACTCAGGCCTCGAGCCGCAGTGAGTGAGCTCACTGTTGACTGTTTTTCTGCGCGCGGCGCGCGTGCAAAACAAAAACAGCTAGGCCCCGCGACGCAAGGCGAGGCGGCGAGGCGCGCCGCGGCTGGCGGGCGGCCTAGAGGCTTGCTAGAGGCGGAGGCGAGGGGCCGAGCGGCGCGGCGGGGACGGCCAGACGGGCGGGACGGACCTCGACAGGTCTCGACCCGGCCAGCACGCCCGGCCAGCCGGGCCAGCCCCGCACGCCGCTCGGCCCTACACTTGACGCCTGCCGCGTAGCGCCCCGCCACATTTCGTCACGAAAAACAAGCCGACACTAGAACGCGTCGCTTGATAGTCACACTGGGGCACACACAATCTCCACAGATCACAGACGGAGTGCTCGCCGTCCTTGCGAAATTCTATGTCCGTCGTCCCTTCGCACTCGCAACACAACACACACACTTCACAGCAGACGATGATGCACTCGAAGACACCAAGAGTTGCACTTTTACGGGAGGGACGCAGGTTGTCACCATTCCCAACACAGTTCACCGGAGCAGTCCTGGATCACGCCAGTCTTGTATCACTCGCTGTCACTCACTCGATCTTGCAGCACAACACATTTCACATATCCTTGGAGCGCTTTGCTCGGGTCGCACTCGCACTGTGGGGACCTAACCTTCTCACACGACGCAAACTGCTTGTCAAAACGGTTATTACCTGGTTGTTTCTTGGCTGGTATCACTTTCCCCGACTTGGATACGTATTCCTGACCCGAGTATCTCATTTTGATCTGTTCCTTCCGGTCCCACTTGGGCCAGAAGTCCAGACCTTCCAGTGTAGTCTGATCCTGTGCGTCCGTCACCGCCGCCATCCCTGAGGCATTTGTTTGCGTTCGCTCCCTTCCAGACTCCAGCCTCCTCCCGTTCCGCTACTTTGCCGGAAAAAATAGTTCGGAAAAAGCGCTTATGAATGAGAGTGCCATCTATCGGCGAGCGCGGCCAACTACAGACTGACTATGCCATTGACGAGTTCAAGAACCTGGCCGCGCGTAGTACGCCGCAGAGCGACCACGTGGTGTAGTACGGGGCTCGCCTCAAAGATCGCGCCAGTGTGCTCTTTGTGTTCCTTTTGTCTGGCCGGGCCGGCCGGGGACGAGAGGGGAGGGGAGGGGGCGGCGGCGGAGGGGAGGGAGCAGCGCGCCACGCGATTGGCCGAGCCTTCCCGCGCATTTCCCGCGCGGTGCGTCGGCCTTCGAAAGCGGAGCGCGCAGCGGCCAGCCTACGGCCAGTGGGACCCGGAAAGTAGGTCACTGTGTTCAATATTCCGGCAGGCCTCTGGGCCGCGGCTTGGCCGTGGTAGGGCCCACCGCGGGTTCAGGGTTGGCTCCCTAGAATGCACCCGGGCCCTAGGACGTCGCCTAGCGGGCCGTCTGGGCGCTGTAGCTTACGCTGTAGGGCCGCGGAGGGGCGCGGTGGAGGGGGAGCGGGGCACGGGGAGGTGCCAACCCCTCGGTAATATCACTCCGCGCTCAAGGCCGGCGGCGGCGGCGGCGGCGGCGGCGGTAGCTGCGGCGGTAGTAGTCGTAGTGGACGACGCACAACAACCCCCCACCCTTTGAGAACTCCCTTCCACCCTTCCGCCTCCGCCCTGCGCATCCCTCCAAGACGGCCCTCAAGGGCGAGAGCAGGGCGCATCCGGCGGGGCCGCAAGATGGGGGCCCTGCCGGCCCTGCCCGCTCCTGCAAACCCCCCAACAGCGTTCTATCTATTTTTTCCCCCTTGGGTACGGAGACGCGATGTATCAAACAGCCGAGCGATTCGGAAGAGTCGTTTCGTGTCTCTGTTGCATTCATGGGGCTTTCGAGAGAGAGACAGAACAACGAACCGATCTTGTATCGCTCGCTCGGCAGGGGTTGTACATGTTGTACATGCATTGCACTCGGACACGGGCGTACGGACAATTCGCCAGTGGCGGATCCAGAGGCGGCCGATGGGGGGGGGGGGGGTAGCACTTTTTGCCTACCTTTCAGGCGGCTATCTGGGGGCTTGGGGGGGGGGCAAAAACCCGCCACGGGTACCCTAACTTACACTCATTAGGCCGACCCTCTGACTCGAGTAGTTTTGGACTGACATTCCTGTTGACAGCCCCCAGTGCGCCTGCAGTGTCGCCTCACTACATACAAAGGTAGATTAACTAGGCAGTAGCATTCGTGCGAATGTGCGAATGTTTTTGTTGTGGTCGGGTTTTGGGGGCTAGCTAGCTGCAGCAACATTGAGCACGGTTTCGCGTGGCGACTCGGTCGCCCCTGGGTCCTTGGTCGTGGGTCTTGGCTCTGTTTACGACTGGCGCGCCGCGTGCCATCAGCTGACCGCGTCGTCTGCTGGGACTCTGTGACGTCGAATGGGCTGCCTACGTGCCGGGCGTCTCGGCGACGCTGCGGCCGCCGGCCACGCGAGCCGTGCCATTCCGGAGGACCTCTCCGTCGCTCTGTCTCTCTAAGTTAGGTCAGGTTAGGTAACCTCACGAAGTCACGAGTGCGACGGAAACGATCATTCGGAATCGCCCCGCGGAGAGATACGAGATCGATCCACCACACTTTTTCGAGAGGCGGGAAAAAGTTGTTTCTTGAGGAGGCCTGACTAATTCCTTTCGCTTCTTCATTTTCAGGTGAGTGCCTTGGGCAGTCGGAGGGAAGTGGCTGCCCCACGACAGCATGCTGCTTCCGTGAGTTGAAACCGACCGAGTCCGTTTCCGTTTCGTGCGACCGGGTAGTGTTTACTACAGTGTATAAGGACGATGGACAGTGTAGGACCCTCGAGCTTGTCGCCGGGTCCGGGTCTGGCGGTGGGCCGCGCGTTACGAAGCCAAGCCAGCAGCCGACTCGACGGAAACCGCAGTCAGCGGCATGCCGACCTTGCACTGTGGACTGATTCCGAGAGTCGTTTTCGTCGCTCTGTCTCCCTCGCACCTTGTCGGGACGCCCCATGAGTGCGAGAGAGACAGAGCGACGAAAGCGGCTCTCGGTCTGCTGCTCGCTGCGAAACGGCAGCGCGGCCACGGCGCCGCAGAGCGCCTCCCACTCGACGCCGGCGCACGTTGGGTTGCCTACCCCGCCGGCGGCTCAAGTGGCGCTGCGTTTTCTGCACGATTCCCGCTCGTTCTGTGTGGTGGCGGATCCAGGGGCGTCGGCTGTTTGGGGGGGGGGGGAATGACTTTCCTCTTACTTACGGCGACTTACGGAGACAAGATGTTGCTTTCAGCCTATGCGAGCCTATCTTTCACAATGAAAACCTAAATATTTGTGCTCAGTACACTTACTTGATTGAGTGTTCTATGTCCATAGTACCCACCCCGTCCGTGCTACGTTTACAGTGTATCTCGTCGGGTCCTCCTCTAGGTCGTCGCTTGGTTCCGTGCCACACCCCAGCTGCTATGAAATGGGTGCTCGTCCGGTGGGTGCGCGCCTCGGTGCCTCCCCGTGACTCGGAGCCGAAGGGCACCAAACAGTTGACTCAGTGAAACAGCAATCGGCCGGCATACGAGTTAGAGAGAGAAAGAGAAAGACAGCCGAAGAGACTCGCCGCGATTGGTGTCTCATTCTGTGCAATTGCCCGATCAAACGATGGCATGGCCAAGAACGCGGACAGTACTAGACTGATTCCGAGAGTCGTTTTCATCGCTCTGTGTCTCCTCCGGCACCTATACGGGACGCCCCATGAGTGCGAGAGAGACAGAGCGACGGAAACGACTCCTCGGAATCAGTCTACGGCCCGGCAATTTTATTAGGCGAAGTGGGTAGGCAACCCAACGTGGACGGGCCCTTGACGGGTTGCCTAACTTCCCGGGTGGTGGCCTGCTCGTGGGCCGCTCGTGCAAGGACTCGAAGGGGCCGAGCCAGGCGTGGATCCAGAGGGAGGCCCCCCTCAAAAAGTTGCACGTGGCCCCTGGAAGTCGGCACTTTTTGGTGCACCCCCCTCCCCGCCTCCAAACGCGTCGCGTCGCTGGACCAGCCCTTGCCGGGCCTTGGCGGGGACGTGGATGGCGCGGCGCGTGTTGCGTGCCGACCAAGCACGGGGCGGGGCGGGGCGGTGCGGGGCGGTGCGGGGCGGTGCGGGGCGGTGCGGGGCGGTGCGGGGCGATGCGGGGCGGTGCGGGGCGGTGCGGGGCGGTGCGGGGCGGTGCGGGGCGGTGCGGGGCGGTGCGGGGCGGCGCGGGGCGGGGAGCTGCCGCCAGAACGGGGAGGAGCGGGGCGATGAAAGGAAAGGGAAAAGCAGCGTCCAGAGGGGAAAAACAAAAATGAAACTGAGAATGAAGAGGCCGCGCGCGGCCACGCGGCACGGCGAGCAGAAAAGGGGAGGGAAAACGGAAAATAAGTCGGCGCGATGCTCGGGGGAGAGTTTTGGCGACGACGACGATGCCGAACAAGGCGAGGACCACGACGACAACGATGACGAACCAGGCGATGGCGACGATGAACCTGCTGATGCGCACGAATTAATTGGTGACACCGGCACGTGGCCGTCGGCGCCGTCGGCCCCTACAGTGTATCGCTTTCCCGGAAGACACGTGACGCCAGGCAGCGCTGTCGCACGCTGTCGATGGAGGACCGACTGCCACGCCACTGCGGGGCCACGGCACGCCACGGCACGGCCGTGCGGTCACGTGTGGGTTGTGCAACGCGCCGCGCGCGCACGCCGCACGCACCGCAGGCCGCGCCAAGCCGCGTGCCGTGCCCTGCCCATCCCTGCCACGCCCTGCCACGCCCTGCCAAGCCGTGCCAAGCCGTGCCAAGCCGTGCCAAGCGCTTGCGGCCGCGCCGCCAGATCGGCTTTCATTCGTTTGGCGGAAGAGACGACGACGGTCCGACAATGTTTGCTTTGGTTTCGCCCGTACAAAAATAAATGCCTCTAGAGTGTCTCGAGCCGAGACACTCTAGAGACGTTCTGGAGACGATGTGGAGACGGTCTGGAGACACTGAGGAGGCAAAATCGGAGACACTGTCAAGACGCTTTGGAGACACCGCCGAGACAGTGCGGAGACGTCGGGAGTTTCTCGACACTGTCTCTATTCTGTCTCGAAAAGGAGACACTCTGGAGACGTTCTGGAGACACTTTAGGGAGACGATCTAGAGACAGTGCGGAGACACTGTCGAGACGCGCGGCGGGAGCGCCGGCCGCCTCCCCCCTCCTCCCACGAGACGGCGTGGAGACGCTTTGGAGACATTCTAGAGACACAACTGGCTCCCCTCCAAACAAAAACTGAAGCCGGCGCCGCACTGGGCGGATTCGACCCACAGACTGCCAGCATCACAACACGGATGACTGACGTCGGAGCGCACTCGGCCAAAGTGACGCTCCTTAGAGGAGGTCTGCCGACGCGCATACACATGGTTCGGACCAGCGGCAACACTCTACACTCCACGCGGCGACCGCTGTCACGTGAAGTTCGTGCAGTGTTATTCATTTAGTAATTACTTTCGGTGCATTTGAATAAAGGAACGTTCAGAGAACGGGGTATTTAAACAGAGAAACGAACATAGTGCTGACCACCAAGATGTTTTAAGTAAAACGACAGCGGTGGCCGCGTAGAGTGTTGCCGCTGGTCCGAACCATGTGTATGCGCGTCGGCAGACCTCCTCTAAGGAGCGTCACTTTGGCCGAGTGCGCTCCGACGTCAGTCATCCGTGTTGTGATGCTGGCAGTCTGTGGGTCGAATCCGCCCAGTGCGGCGCCGGCTTCAGTTTTTGTTTGGAGGGGAGCCAGTTGTGTCTCTAGAATGTCTCCAAAGCGTCTCCACGCCGTCTCGTGGGAGGAGGGGGGAGGCGGCCGGCGCTCCCGCCGCGCGTCTCGACAGTGTCTCCGCACTGTCTCTAGATCGTCTCCCTAAAGTGTCTCCAGAACGTCTCCAGAGTGTCTCCTTTTCGAGACAGAATAGAGACAGTGTCGAGAAACTCCCGACGTCTCCGCACTGTCTCGGCGGTGTCTCCAAAGCGTCTCGACAGTGTCTCCGATTTTGCCTCCTCAGTGTCTCCAGACCGTCTCCACATCGTCTCCAGAACGTCTCTAGA